TTCTCTCCTTCCTTTTTTCTTCCTTCCTCTTGCCTCCCTCCCTCCCTCTCTTTTCTCTCCTTCCTTTTTCTCTTCCTCCCTCTTTCCCTTCCTCTCTCCTTCCTCTCGCCCTTCCTCTCCTTCCTTTTTTCTTCCTCTCTCCTTCCCTTCCTCTCACCTTTTCTTCCTTCTCTCCTTTTTTCTCTTCCTCCCTCTTTTCCTCCCTCTCTTCCTTCCTTCCTCCCTCCCTCTTTCCCTTCCTCTCCTTCCTCCCTCCCTCCTTTCCTTCCTTTTTTCTTCCTTCCTTCTTCCCTTCCTCTCCCCTTTTCTTCCTCCCTCCCTTTTCTCTCCTTTTTCCTCTTCCTCCCTTTTCCTTCCTCTGTTCTTCCTTCCTTCCTCCCTCCTTTCTCTCCTTCCTTTTTTTCTTCCTCCCTCCTTCCCTTCCTCTTGCCTTTTCTTCCTCCCTCCCTTTTCTCTTCCTCCCTCTTTTTCTTCCTCTCTTCTTCCTTCCTCCCTCCCTCCCTCTTTTCTCTCCATCCTTTTTTCTTCCTCCTTCCCTTCTTTCTCTCCTCCCTCCCTTCCACTCTCCCTCTCTCTCTTTTCACAACATCAGTTCTTCAAACCAGACCAAAAAGGGAAACACTCCCCAGCCAGATCCCATAAAAGAAACATCCCAGTCCCTTTCCACGAACAAATGAAAACTCCCTTCTCTTGCTCGGCTGCAATCCAATCGTTTCTCTCCTCTTCCTCTCAAACAGGAGCTGCTCCCACCCACCACCCACCACCCACCTCCAAAGGATGCAGTCAGCAAGTCTCCTTATTTGCCCTCCTGCCACGGCAAAGAAACTTCCAGAAGCCTCATCAATCCCACCCACCTTGCAGTTAAGAGCAAAGCTGCATTAACACCCCGGCCACCCACACACTGAGCTGAAACCTAGTTTCGGCCAAGACAAGACACCTCAGCTCACGATAACAAGCTTCATCATCACACCTCTCTCCTTTTTTTTCTTTTTTTTTTCACGCAGGGTTTATTTTATTCTTGTTTTCTTTTTTGTGACACTCTGGTTCACACCAAATTGATCCCCCCCATCCGCCTTTGGGGGTGCAAACAAACTCCAGCGTGAAGCCACCGAAGGGTGTGAGCCCCCTCCAAGGTTTTTTTATTTTGCCTTTGTCATTTCGGTTAAGTTGTCAACCCATCCGCCAGACAAGAACATTGGGGAGAGAAAAACCATCTGAATTGTCAGCGAGAGAACATGTTGCACACTACACGAAGCAAAGAAACACAACGCACGTCATTTTATTTTATTTTTATATATATATATATATATACAGCAAGCTGCAAATGAGCTCCTGGAGAACCTACGTGCATCACCAATAGCATATTGTCAGGAAAGAAATGGTTTTACAAACGCTTTTGTTTTGCGGCTTGGATTTTCACGTTTCCCTCCCCCCACCTTATCTTCACCCACGCCAACTTTAAAATATATTGCAAACCCCAGATAAGAGGAAGCCTGAATCTCCTGAGCCTCTGAGCTTTAAAATCGTGAAATAGACCCTGGGCCATCTGAGCTGACTCTGAATACAACTTCTGCTGAAATAAAAATCCACGGATAATTAAGACAGCCTTTTGCAACCTGGTGTATCCCTGCTCTGTATCTTTATGCAACAATGGCTCCCCAAATCTGCCTGCCTGCAGCGGCCGTCGATTCCCAGCACCCTGTCTCACAATTAAAGCCTTCAAGCTGCAAAAAGCTTGATTTTTTTTTTAATACGGGCGTTGGATGGAAACTTTCACTGTGGGATTCCCAGAAATAAAATGGCTGGTACTGAATTGAGTTCTCTTAATAATAAGAGACCCATGGAATAATGGGGCAAACTTTTCCCCAGCTTCGAAACATATTATTGGGCCAGCAAAGCAGAGAATGAGGGCTCTGGATTGGTCTTTCCTGGCCTGCCCAGGGTCTCCATCACACGGCTGTTCTGGTTCTCCAAAACATCAGGAAAAGGTTCGGGAAGAGAAAATAAAGAGAGAACATTTTGGAAAGGCTCGGCCGGAAGAGAATATTTGTAGTTCGGGGTTGGACTGTGAGGTCCTTGGTGCTCTCTGAGCTTGGTGGTTTTTCTGGCAGACGTTTCATTACCCAGTTAGGGAACATCATCAGTGCTAGAAGGGAGTGGGGTTTGTAGAGAGGAGGAGGAGGAGGAGGAGGAGGAGGAGGAGGAGGAGGGGAGGAGGAGGAGGAGGAGAGAGGAGGAGGAGGAGGAGGAGGAGGAGGAGGAGGAGGAGGAGAACTGTGGGATCCTTGATGCTCTCTGAGCTTGGTTGTTTTCTTGCAGATGTTTCATTACCCAGCTAGGGAACATCATCAGTGCTAGAAGGGAGTGGGGTTTGTGGAGAGGAGGGGGAGGGGGAAGAGGAGGGGGAGGAGGACAACTGTGGGGTCCTTGATGCTCTCTGAGCTTGGTTGTTTTCTTGCAGACGTTTCATTACCCAGCTAGGGAACGATATCAGTGTTAGAAGGGAGTGGGGTTTGTGGAGAGGAGGAGGAGGAGGAGGAGGAAGAGGAGGAAGAGGAGGAGGACAACTGTGGGATCCTTGATGCTCTCTGAGCTTGGTTTTTTTCTTGCAGACATTTCATTACCCAGCTAGGGAACATCATCAATGTTAGAAGAGAGTGGGGTTTTCTCTCTGTTTATATACAGTCCCTTCTTGCACTGATGATGTTTCCTAGTTGGGTCATTAAATGTCTGCAAGAAAACTACCAAGCTCAGAGAGCGCCAAGGACCTCGCAGTCTTCCTTCCTCTTCCTCACTTCATTCCTTCTTCCTCTTATTCTTCCCCTCCTCTTCCTCCTCCTCCTCCTCTCCACAAACCGCCCCAGCCCTGATGATGTTCCCTAGTTGGGTCATGAGACGTCTGCCAGAAAAACCACCAAGCTCAGAGACCACCAAAGACCCCTGCAGTTCATATGAACATTCTCTTCTATTGACATCCCTTCCTCCCTGCGAATCGAAAGGGATGCTGGTTTGTCTCCTGCTGGCTACAACCACAAACCACAAAGATTGGCACCCAAGGAACCCGGATAGCTGCAGGTATTCACCACAGGGAGTGGGGGGCTCTCTCGCTCTCTCTCTCTCTCTCTCTCTCTCCCTCCCTCCCTCCCTCTCTCTCTCTCTCTCCCTCCCTCCCCCTCTCTCCCACCCTCCCTCTCTCTCTCTCTCCTTCCCTCCCTCCCTTCCCTCTCTCTCTCCCTCTCTCTCTCTCCCTCTCTCTCTCTCTCCCTCCCTCCCTCTCTCTCTCCCTCTCTCTCTCTCCCTCTCCTCTCTCTCCCTCCCCTCCCTCTCTCTCTCTCTCTCTCTCTCTCCCTCTCTCCCTCCCTCCCTCCCTCCCCCTCCCTCTCTCTCTCTGTGTGTCCCCTTCCTTCCTCCATTCTCCAGGGCTCCGAAAGAGATGCCCTGCTTGGGGGGGGGGAGCAGTCAGTGGGCTTGGAAAGGAAGAAAGGAGCTTTGGGAAGGACCAGGCTGGCTCTCTTGGCTCCTTGAAAGCCAAACCGGAGATTTGAGTCACCCAGAGCCGCGCAGGCAGAAAAGTAGGTCAGGATGAAGGATTAATAAGTCAGGACGAATGGAAGAAGGGAGGCTACGGGTGAGGAGGGAGGGAAGTGGGACTGGAGAGGGAGAATGGAGGGGAAAAGCCAAACGTCTCAGAAGAGTCTGTCTTTCCCTCCCCCCTTCCCTCCCCCCCTCCCTCTACTGTCTAAGCAATCCTGGTTACCTCCAGGCTGTGTCGGCCCTGCCCTGGGATAGATTTTATCCGAAGCACAATGTTGGGTTATTATTATTATTATTAAAATTATTATTAAATTTATTTTATTTAGCGTACGGTTGGTCACGCGCAGTATTAAAGCACTTCATTTTTTACAGGTTTAAAAAACAATAAAAACAATTAAAAAAAAGCAGTAAGGAAACCTAAAAGGAAAACAGAAATAACATTTCAAAGTTTAATGTCGAGTTTGGAGAGCCAGTCAGTAGATTTTTTTTTATTAATAAAAAAAAAGAAGAAACAGTCACCTCCCATTAGGCTCCCCGATAGACATCATAAACCTTTCCTTCAGAAAGAAGACGGGGAGGGTGCCTCCTTTCTGGATTTCTTCAAATTTCCCCGACGGGATTTCTGGGTGGTCTCCTTTCCCCTCCTACGGTTTGAAATGCGTAGGCCAGTCCAGCGATGCCGGGATTGCAAGGGGTTTATTTAACCCCCACAATATACACACATCCCTACCCCACCTCTGCCTTTTTTCCTAGACTTTTCCCAAGCGGGTCGAAGGAACGTGTGAATCGGTCCCCGTTTTGACTCGGAGCCTGCGAGGGAAAGGCGAGGGTTTTGGGGGAGGGGGAAGGGGGTGGGAAAAAGGGGTCGAAAGGATCCCTCGCTTCATTTCCCAGGTCTGCCCTAGTTTAAGAAACCTCACCCAGGGTGGATCGCTCCTGCTCGATCCCAGCTAAGCTGGGCAAGGATCCCTTCGGGTCGGGAAGGGGGCAACGAAGTCTGGTTAGAGGTGTGGGTGGGGGTGGGTGGGGTGGGGTGGGAGGGGTCTCTACTCTCCCTCCCTCTCCATCCTCGGGTAGGGACCCATCCCCAGGTTGTGCTTATCGCAGGCAAACAGACTTCTCTCCTCCCCCCCCCCACAAAGGGAGGGGCCGCAAAGAAAGGCTGGGAAAAGCGACTCCGTCGTTGTGCCTCCCTTCCTGGCTCGGAGCCGAGCAAGCCTTTCTTCCCCCCACCCACCCACCCACGACCCCCCCTCACCCTTGCCCGCCCCAGATCTTGGGGGGAGGGGAGGCTCCACCCTCCCTCCCTCCTCCTCCTTCCCTCCCTCCCCCCGTGCGCATCTGTGCCGCGGGCGCCAGGTTGCTGGAAAGGAAGGCGGCGGCGGTGGGCGCTTGGCCGAGGAGGGCGAGGGACGCCCCCCCACATACACCTGGCCGCTGGCTGGGCGCAGAGAGAGAGGGAAGGGAGGGAGGGAGGGGAGAGACCCCCGCCGCCGCCTCCCCCCCTCCTCCCGCCACGGCGTCCTCCTTCCTCGCCAGCAGCAGGCTGGAGGTGGGGGGGGGTCTCTCCACGCAGCTGCCGACCCCCCCTCCGAGCCGAGGGAGATGGAGCCCGCTGCCCCGCAGGCGGACGAGCCAAGCCTTACCTGGCCACACCTGGACGCCGCCGGCAACTAAGCGGTGAGTGCCTCCCCCCCCCCCCCCCCCAGGCTCAGCCCAGGTTACAAGCCCCCTGCGTGCGACCCCCTTTCCTGGCGCCCTCGGACTACAACGCCCAGGCTCCCCCGCCAGCCGACTACAACGCCCAGGCTCCCCAGCCGTTCCCGGAGCTGATGATCTCCCACGCGCCGCGTCTTCCCGGCGTTTCCAAACTCCGCTTCGCACGATCGGGGGTCTCTCTCGCTCTCTCCGGCGGCCACAGCAGCGAGACGAAGCCCCGGGAGGCTCACGAGTGGATCCGTTCGGATCCTTTCCTCTCCTCCCCCACACACAAGAAAGCAGAAGCCCCAGGCGATCACGAGTGGATCCATTTGGATCCTTTCCTCTCTCCCCCCACACACAAGAAAGCAGAAGCCCCAGGCGACTCACGAGTGGATCCATTTGGATCCTTTCCTCTCTCCCCCCACACACAAGAAAGCAGAAGCCCCGGGCGACTCACGAGTGGATCCATTTGGATCCTTTCCTCTCCCCCCCCCCCACAGAAGAAAGCAGTCCCGGGTGGCTCACGAGTGGATCCATTTGGATCCTTGGATCCTTTCCTCTCTCCCCCCACACACAAGAAAGCAGAAGCCCCAGGCGACTCACGAGTGGATCCATTTGGATCCCTTCCTCTCTCCCCACCCCCAAGGAAGCAGAAGCCCCGGGTGGTTCACGAGTGGATCCGCCTGGATCCCTTCCTGTCGTGACCCCCACCCCACCCCGAGAAAGAAGAGGGAAGCGGTTTCTCTCCTTTGCTCGATTCCCTCTCTCCATTCACACGTTCCCCGGGATCCCCCACTCCCACCCACCTTGACTCGGGGGTTTCTCCGTCACCGCCTCCCTCCCTGGTGGGAAAGTGGCCACGGGGGCTCGGTCGGGCGCGGAGTGGACCAAGCTCCGCCGTTTGTCCCGAGGAGGCGGGTGGGTTGTGTGAATGCTGTCCGGCTGGAGCGAAAACACAGCCACGCGGTTCCGCTAAACCCGGGTTAGCAACCGCGCGTGGAACTCCGGCTGGAGCGCGCAGGAGAGGGAGACCGCGGTGAGTTTTGCGCGTCTTGGCGGGTCTGTTGGGAAACGCTCCGGGATCGGTTTGGATGCCCTCCGTCCACCTCGTGCCCCCCACCCTTTTGTCACCAGAGACCCCCTCCCCAATTAGCCCATCCCGAAGCCCACTGACCGCTAGGCTGGCCGGTCAAAGCAGAGCCGCCAAGCCGCTTCTTTGCTACCTCGGGAGATTTTGACACTCTCCAAGCAGATGGGGGGGCTCAGAAGGATGGGGGGGCTGAGGAGGATGGGGGACGGGGGTCTCTCCCAAATTCTTGGACTTGGCTTCTTCCCTGGGGGAAGGAGCCCACACGCGGGATCTCTCCGGTTGGAGTAAGAAGACTCTGGGATGGCCCCAGATTAAGCTAGGGGAGCAGGCAGGGGTATACTGAGGTCATCTATTCCACTCCCCCTTTGGGTGGTGATCCCTGGAGGATCACAACAAGCAAGGATTCTTCTGGGTTGATGAAGATGAGCAGCTTGGGGAGTCCTGGAGAACTGAGGACCAGCAGGGACTTTGTAGTCTCTCTGACCCAGCATGGACCAGTTTTTGGGGAAGGGGAAAGTGATACCCCCCCCTCAGTTTCCTTCCCTAAAATGACCCAAAAGCCCATTTCTCTTGGGCTTTTCATGTCCTCTACCTATGCTCATTACAGCCAGCCCCATTTCACACAAACCCCCCACCCCATTCTTAGAATTTATTTATTTATTTATTTATTTATTGGTTCAATTTATATGCCGCCCTTCTCCGGAGACTCAGGGCGGCTTACAATGCATTAAGCAACAGCCTTCATACTTTTGTATATACCTGCTTAGTAGGGCTTTTGGGGGGCCCCTCAAGCGGTGTTCTTTTTTATACAAAGTCAGCTTATTGCCCCCACAATCCGGGTCCTCATTTTACCTCCCTCGGAAGGATGGAAGGCTGAGTCAACCTTGAGCCTGGTGAGATTTGAACTCGCAGTAATTGCAGGCAGCTAAGTGCTACTTAACAGTGCTTTAGTCTGCTGTGCCACCAAGGCTTCTTGCCAATTCTTGCCACCAAGAATTGGCAAGGGGATACCCAGGGTTTCCGCCGGAAGGTCTTCTAACCCTAAACCGATGAACAGCCAGACGGCGGAACAGGCTGCCACTGGATAAGGCGAGGTCTTCTTCAGTGGAGACCTTCGGTGGAGAGGCTGAATGGGCCATTTGTCGAATCCTGCCCGGAGCAGGGGTTGGACTAGATAACCTCTAAGGTTCCCTCCGACTCGGCTTTTATCCTTTCCCTGCTCCGGCTTGGATTGCAACTCCCTTGTTGCCCAGAGGTGCCGTTGGCCATAAGGAATTTCAAGAGGTTGTTTTAATCGCCAGAGTGATCAGAAAAAGGCTACCTCATTTTAAGACTTGTTTTTGTTTGTTTTTGCAATATTTATAAAGTTTAAACGTTTGTTTGTGACTGTTTTTTTCCCCCTTTGGCACTAATGCTCTTCACCAACGGTGCATAGAAGGGGGAGGGAGCTGCTTAAGAAGAAAACATCTCAAATTTAACTTTTTTGTTTTTTTTAAACCCCTCCAATAATATCCCAAACTGACGTAATTGAAATCCGTACGGCCTGCAAAAGCAACCCATTGCAACGACTAGTGACTAGTGTTATCATTTTAAGCCAGCATTCCTAGTCAGAAACGAGGTCTAACTGAGCCTCCCCATTCCTAGCCCTGTCGACATGACTAGGTGGCTCAGTGGCTAAGACACTGAGCTTGTCGATCAGAAAAGCCTTGGTGGTGCAGTGGACTAAACTACTGTTAAAGTAATATTTAGCTGCCAGCTGCCTGCAATGACTGCGAGTTCAATTCTCACCAGGCTCAAGGTTGACTCAGCCTTCCATCCTTCCGAGGGAGGTAAAATGAGGACCCGGTTTGTGGGGGCAATAAGCTGACTTTGTATAAAATAGAACACCGCTGGGGGGGGGCCCAAAAAGCCCTACTAAGCAGGTATATACAAAAGGATGAAGGCTATTGCTTAAACGCACTGTCAGCCGCCCTGAGTCTCCGGAGAAGGGCGGCATATAAATCAAACTAATAAAATAAATAATAAATAATAAATAAAAGTCGGCGGTTCAAATCCCTAAGTACAGGCCTCTTGCCTGAGCTGGGGGTTGGACTAGATGACCTCGAAGATCCCTTCCAACTCTGTTCCTGACATAAATCTGAGTTCACGCGTTACGTCGGTGCTAGGATTGACTTTGGGTTGTTTTATTTTATTATTATTTTTTTGCCCCTGAGCAAATGACAACTATCTTTCACACTTTTAACGTTTTCACACAACCTCTTGTGCCGAGGGAGAAGTACCTTCGTGTGAATGGGGGTGGAGGAGCGCTCAGTTCCGGCTACGCCGAACAAATTTGTGACCCAACGCAGGCCGGCTAGGCTGCCCTGAAAACATTTGATTCAGACAAGCCTACATTGCTTGCTACGCGACGCCCCAAACTGCTATTCTCAGATCTATCCTGGTTTGATATTCCGGTTAGCAAATGCCTTGCTTTGGAAGTTGATCCTCGCATCCGGTTTGATGGACCCACAAGCTCTCTTTCTCTAGATAGCGACAGGTGTTAAGGGACGGGAGGGGGGGGGACAGGCGGTGGGGGAGGTTTTAACAACCCAACAAATACCCGGCGTGTTTTTGGCACGAAGCCAAGAGGTTTTTGTCCTATTTTTACTTCTGTGAAATAGCTGCCGTACTCTGAAAAGCGGGAGGAAAAAAATCCGCTGAATACGTAAGCGCAATTAGCGATGCTGCAGGGAAGTGGGGAAGAAGAAAGAATAATAATAATAATAATAATAATAATAATAATAATAATAATAATAATGCCTTGGAGAAATTGCTGGCGATGAAGAGATGGGGGGGGGGGAACACTCCACAATTTGGCTTAATTCTCCCAGGAAATGATTTTCTGATGACTCACAAATTCCGCTCCGCTCGCCCTCCTCCTTTCTGGGCCTCTTAAGAAGTCAACTTACGGCCTGTGCCTCCTCCGGTGGCTCAGCTACCTGTAGCCCCATCGCCAGGTGGGTTGATAGGTGCTTTACATACAGACACACACACACACACAGCCCCAACACAGAAAAACACACACACAGACACACACTTCTGAAGGCCCCTCCCCAGACAGTAAAAAGCAGGGGAGGTTGTTGAATCAGATTTTGCTGGAGAGCAGATGGTTTCTGCTCACCCCCACGGATATTCCCAGAGAGCTTGGCTAGGCAAAGTAATTTTTCTATCTATCTATCATCCAGCCATCTATCTATCTATCATCTATGCATATCTATCCATCCATCCATCCATCCATCCATCCATCATCTGTCTGCCTGCCTGCCTGTCTCTCTCTCTCTCTCTCTCCCTACCTATCTATCTATCATCTCGATTTCTCTCTTTACCTACCTACCTACCTATCGTGTTTCCCTGAAAATAAGACCGTCTTACATTTTTTTGAACCCTGAAATAAGCGCTTGGCTTTATTGCCATGCGCTCAAAAGCCCAATTGGGCTTATTATCAGGGGATGTCTTATTTTGGGGGAAACAGGGTATGTATCCATCCATTCATCCACCCATATACCTGCTTAGTAGGGCTTTCGCCCCCCCCCCAAGCGGTGTTCTTTTTTTATACAAAGTCAGCTTATTGCCCCCACAATCCGGGTCCTCATTTTACCAGCCTTAGAAGGGATGGAAGGCTGAGTCAACCTTGAGCCTGGTGAGATTTGAATTTGCAGTAATTACAGGCAGCTGGTGCTACTTAACAGCGCTTTAGTCTGATGCGCCACCAAGGCTCCTAAATTTCCTAATGGTGAGAACAGTCGACCAATGGAATAGCTTGCTTTCATTTTGTTTTATTGCACTTATTTTATTTTATTGTACTTATTTTATTGTACTTATTTTTTAATTTATTTTATTTATTCATTCA